GACATCTGCACCCGAATGTTTATGGCAGCACAATTCACTATTGCAAGGATGTGGAAACAACCCAAGTGTCCGTCAATCCATGAGTGGATTATTAAAATTTGGTATATGTTTACAATGGAATATTACTCAATCATAAGAAACAACAGTGATCTAGAACCTCTTATACTTTCCTGGATTAAACTTAAGCCCATTATCCAAAGTGAAGCACTACAAGAGCAGAAGAACGGGCCCCACTTGTACTCCCCATCAAATTGGTACTAACTGATCAACATTAGGGTGATCACATGGCAGAAATACTCTCCAGGGATTACAGGGATGGGAGGGTAAATCCTCAACTAAAGGACACAGGGAGCACTGTAGCGGGGGGAAGGGCATGACTTTAACCTGTACTTGGGTGAGGCAAAGACATAAAGTGCAACCACAATGTTTGTACCCTCACAATACCCTGAAATAAAAAAAAAAGAAAAAGAAAAAAAAAATCTTTATTGTCTTCCGTCATGTGAGGGCAGACACCAAAAATGTTTTCCTGGATAAACTTTTTAGTCTTGCCATCGGTCATCTTGTGCTCTGGATATGCCACAGTCTCATCCTCAAACTTGTTAATCAGATACGAAGGACAAAATAAGGTGAAACCCTCTCTGTTATCATCATACTCGTTCACCAGAAATGGCACGTTGGTGTGTGCAAATCAGTAATCATCCCTCAAGTTTCTGGCTGCTTTTAGAAACTCAGAGTGAGCTTCACTGAATAAATCCTTGAGAAAACCCCCTACAGAGGGGGTTTATCACCAGTGAATTTCTTAAATTCTTCCTCAGTCCTGAGAGGAGCGGAAGCTGGTCCTGCCTGCTTCTTTGGGTGGCCGACAATTCCCTGGGCAGTCCCAGGCCCGTCATAGCACCTGCTTCTTCACCATCTCTATCTTCAGGGTCAGACATCCACTGACTCTATACTTTCACAAGTGATTTTGTTGGCAGTGCCATCAACCTTTCCTGGTGGGACTATTTCTTTTAATCTGGTAGCTGCAAGCTTCACATTCAGTGGCAAGACTCTTGAAGTGTCCACACCAGGGGGCAAAGAACTCGACCACCATGAGACCCGCAGAGCCATGTCAGAGCCATGTCAGAGATGTGGCGACTCTCGAAGTTGTCATCCAGAGTTCCAGCACGGAGGCCGCAGCGGGAAGCAGCACCATACTGGGAACAGCACCAGGCAGCAGAGGCACGTGGTGGCGGGGTGAGGAGGGGCGGACGGGAGGGTCGGGCCTCCATGGGGACGGCGGAGGTCAAGACAGCTGCCACGCACCTGCTGCCTGCAAGAAAATGATTTTTAAAACAAACAAACAAAAGGTTGGTCCTGCCTCCATCATACCTGGCCCCTTTCTTGACTCTGCTCTGGACTCAGGTCCATCTCTAGCCTGATTCAGTGTGAGTTGGACTTGGAAAGGCAGGTCTGCTTAGGGCTGCTCTTTGTGCTTGTGGTGGTTTGGTTCTCGGGGCAGTTTTTATTAACAAGGACTCAGCCGACGCCAGCACACCCACCACCGCTGCCACCGCCACCACCACCACCATGCTAGCCTTCTCCTCACCCCTTCACACACTGCTAGGTCCTATTTTAAGAAAACCCATATTAAAATAAGCACTTGAGCTTAACATTCTGAGACACAAACACAGAAGTAGTCCATTTGTTTCTAACAAACACTAATTTTTTTAAAAATTTAAAAATCACATACAAAAAACTTAATTGACAGCATGTTAGGGGTTTTAGAACTACAGAAATATAAAATGTCTCCATGGTATTTATATTATAAATGGAGACGGTAAACTGTATTCAGTAACTAAAACAAATATTAATAATATTCATCATTTGCACATCACGAGCAGCTAAAGGAAAGAGAGAGAATACAGAGAGAAAAAGAGGGGAAAGGAAAGAAAGAGAAACAGTGATAAAAGTAACAAGAAAAAGATACTAATCAAAAGGAATAGAAAAAGCAAAGAAATAATGTGATGGGGAGAGAGAGAGAGTCCTCTAGTTATAGTGAGACAATGTTTTGCGTTAAGGAGTCTTTGTTTGTAAACAAGCCGAAATCTCTCTCGACCTAAAACAAGGTGTTTCCCAATCCTACATCCCCCTCTAACTACCACAACTCCATGTTCTCATTCCCTTCACTGCCCTTTTGGTAGCAGTGGCCTTACTCCTCAAGCCACTGGAATTCAGTTTCCACCACAATCTCCAGTGACCTCCCATCACCAGATTCAATGGACTCTTGTCTGCCCTGATTTCACAGGATTGCTCAAACCCCTTCCAAGGGTTCTCTTGACCCCACTCTGCTTCTTGGTATAATCTGACGCCACTCCTTCCTGGTTCTCCTCTGCCTTTATCTCTCACCCTCTGCCTCAATCTCCTTTACCCACCCCATGAACACTGATCTTCCCTGGTGTGTCTTCCTCAATTCATGGTTTTTCTCACACAGTTCACTAAGAAAAACCAAACCAAAACCAAAAAAACCCACCTCATTAACTCTCATATTATTAGCTATTGCTAGCTATCAAATACTCCTAGGATGCATGGCACCAACTGCTATACAGGCTGACGGCCTCAAATCTTACATCCATGGTCCTGATATCTTTCTGGATCCTTGGACCTCTCTTTCAACTTCCTGCTCGCATTGCCACCTAGATTTTCCCATGATCTATCAGATTTGTCATGTCCAAAGAGAACTCATCATGCTCCCATGCAAACTGTTTTGTCCCTAAATTCCCAGCCTAAATCCCTCAAGTCACCTCCAGTCTAGTCCAGTCTGTCACTCCCATATCTAATCAGTCACCAAAACTTAACCTACTAAACATTTTATAAATCTTCTCTCTCCTTCAGTATCTACTAACACAGTCCTCATAACTTGGCACACAAGGTACCCCATGGCCTGTCCCTACTTCCTCTCCAGCCTCCCCTCCCACTCTTTCCTGCTTTCACTTTACTCTCTAGTGATCTGAATAGCTTGTCGTTGCCCACATGCGCTTTGCCCAGCTCTTGTTCTTTGGTCTTAAAGTAACTTCTTTCCAGAATGTTTGCTCTTGACCCTTACCCACAGTTGGCTCTAAACAATCCTTATATGTTTTGTTCAACTATCATCTCATACAAACAAACCTTTCAGAACCTCCAGACCAGCTTGGGTGCCGCTGGTCTGTGCTCCCATAGCCCCATTCCTACCTTTCTCCCCACAGTATACCACATTGTAATGAAAGGCTATGTTAGACTTCCTAACTAGACAGCAGCTTAACTTAAAGCAAGGAATGCGTCTTACTGCTCTGTGGACATCCCGCAGACTCGATGTCTGGCAGTAAGTATCCAGAAAGGTGTGGTGAGAAATTGTGAGAGCTTCCTTCAGCCCTGGTCTCAGTGTGAGCACCTCTTACAGGCCTTTGGAAAGGGCTGTTAAATGAAAAGCTACTCTTTACAGCTTGACAGAACGATTCTTCTCCTTTGAAAGGGCTGATCTGAAATGACAAACTAGAAAAAGGCTCTGACCTATAGAAGGCAGAATGGGTGACTGAAGAAATAACACCTAAGAAAAATCAAGGGATGAATTTGGCCTCTGGTTTGGAGGTTCCTGTTCTCTCTCCTGAGGAGAGAGCAATCGTGCCACCGACAACTGGAAAAGACTCTTTCCTGTCTTATTTCTAATTTTGAGGGTGAAGAGTGAAGTAAGAGCCAACAATTGAACTGATTATTTGGTTACTTACCATCTCCTTTGACATCCCCAAAGACAGCCCAGGTCTCATGGGACCCTCATAAACCCTTTGAATGGCACGAAATGGCATTCCATGCCCAAAGACATAGGCCTGCTTTCCCACGGCAAGAACTTCCTGGTATGTTCATGCATCATTGTGTTAATTCAGGGACACACTGGCCTTACCTTTTTTTCTGCACCCTCCTTCTCATGCTCTTAAGGATACAGCTTCACACTGGACCAAATATCTTTAGAGAATAAGCCTGAAGAAAATATGAGAGTGCCATCTTGAGTCTTAATATAGAGCTATTTGAGTCATTTCCCTAAGTATATCACTTGGTCTTGCCCACACCTTGACCTACCTAGTCCTGTTTGCTAATCATATTGGTCTTCAACAGCTGGGACTTTTAGCACTTGAAAATATTTATTTTCATCAGTACATGGAGTTGCAATCTGTCTTCCTCTAAAATTTTCAAAAATTGAGTAAGAAGATTAACACCAGCCCCAACATCTGGATCTATGTGTGTATAGTTCTCCACTGGTTAAGCCCAGGGACCCTTCTTCATCCCCCAGTCACTTAGGAAGCTGCTTGCTCCACATATTTGTCACTGAGGCCCTCAGTGAAAGGACAGATTAAGTCTATGCCTATGAGCAGGTGAGCATCCTCCTGAGATCTATGTGTGTTTGGCTTGAGCTGACAAACCATGGAAACCAATTCTTCTCACTGATTCTCAGTTCTGCTTCACAACCCTCTTCCTCTTCTCCTGCTGTGTGCGAAGCACATTTTTACCTGCTAACATTTCCTCTCTATCCCAAATATCAAGGTTTTCAGTGGGATTTTTATGAAAGGAAGATGGCATGGGATTGGTATAAGGCAACTGATGGAAGGGTTGATTGGTTGGGGGCCAGTGGGGTCTAGGAGAAAGAGAAAGGATAGTAGAGGACAGTATGTCGTAGAAGGGTGTGGGGCAGCTGTCTATCCTCTGACAGTCCAAAAATAGTCTCTAGCCGATTGCCAGACAAATTGTCCTCTCCCAGCCGTGATCCTCTGGTTGCCCGTGCCTTGCTGTGCACTCACTCGTTCACAAATATGAGACAAAGAGAAGACGAGCAAGATGAAGGAAGACACTGGAAGCAGCGAGCCATGTTCTAGGCAGAAAAGGGAAGAACAGCCTGGCCTTTTAGCTTCCAACACAGAAGGCCCAGCCAACATGTGGCTATGGAAGAAATAACTCAGCACATGGGTGGCCAAAGGGAGAAGACTCATTTCTGCACCACCCATTGTACTGGCTTTTTTCTACTTTTCTTAGCCTCTAGAGATGCTAAGGACAATGTAATGTAATAAAAATTCTCAGAGTCAGGCCCAGTACCAACACTCTTCACGTCTGTGATTTTAGGACGGATATTTTACCTCTTGAGTCATCATTTCCTATCCTGCCTCATAGGCAAGGAGTATTGACCTGATCAAGCATATAAAGACCCTAGCAACATGCCCAGCAGTTAGTATGTGCTTAATAAACATTAGTACTCTCCTGTGCTTTGATAGTCAAGGCTCAGCAAAAGCCTTTCCTGACCATTGTCCACCCTGTCAAGCCCTTTTCCTGGCTGTGGACACAATCAGTGCCTTATGATCTCCTGTCCTGCTCTCCAAGCTCTTGTTCTCTAACACCGCACTTACTGTTCCCAGCTGTATAGCCTGCCCCTTAAGGGCAAGAATCTTCCTTGAAAAGATCTTTCATGGAATTAAAAGGATGGGGAGCTCAATAGCACTTGGCTAGAGTTGCAGTGGTGGAAATAATCCTTTGCTGGGCCCCAGCTAAGTCCCTAGCCCTACCTATAGAAACTCCCCCCGCACAGTTTGGGACTTACCAGCTCCGTGGAAGGAGGGGCATAGAATTATAACTGTCCCCAGGAAAGTCTGTAAAGTTACCCAAAGCCTGATTCAATTCTCAAAAAACATGCATCCTTAGGGATCCCTCAATTCCACAGGGCTCTAAAGGAGAAAACCCAGGTTCCCTACAGGGTAGATTGTTAGAGAGGGTCCCTGGATCGGGCATGCCTAAGAGGTCAAATACTGTCTCCCCTGGAAGATCTGAGACTCAGTTAAGCCCCACAATTGGCCAAAAGAACACAGGGCACATCTCTCTCTTTCACAGGAATGCCTTATGAAAAAGGATCACAGAAAAATGCTAAGAAAGTCAGAGGTCAAATGGGTTCAGGGTACACTGTGAGAACAAGAGAGAACAGTACCTGCCAGCAAGAACATGAGGTTGGTGGGCAGATAGGCAGGAGGTACATGGTTCGGAACAAACTGTCTGGTTGCCCTCAAATGAATGAACAGCACAGTCATTAATGAGTCTGGATAATTCAAGAAATTGAGC